AGATGAAATACATTTATAAGCACAGCTTGGCAACAGAAGTTCTTCCACATTTTCCAAACCTCGACCAGGACGTCCCGACCATCAGCTAACACCCTCCCACAAGGGAGATTGGTGTGCCCACCCTCTCTAAGGAGTGGTTCCCATTTTATCTACTCGCCAAAGCTTTCGAATCGCTGGGTGGATGATGAGCTGGGGACAACAGGCTGGCTGCTCACACCAGCGCAGGGCTCGAACTAACACAGTTCGGATGTTAAGACAGTGGGATATACCCACTGTGCCACCACTCCCCTCTAATAATCAGTACAGTGATGTTCCCCATCAGCCAAGATGGGATGTTCTAACATGACAGACCCCTGCGACACCGAGCTCAGGGCCAAATACTTTCTATAATAAGCTAGGCTATTCCTGTATCAAGCTACTCCAGTCATGTGGCTTCATTTTCCTTGGATGCCTGTCAATGAGTACCAACAGCAGATGAGGCAAACTCCTCCCCAAACCCTGAAAAATCCTTTTCTTCTAACTTGGTCTTGCATTTCTTGGTCTCTGCTCTTCACTGAACATGGAGGCAAGCTGGTTAGTTGTCCTGCTTAGGGCAGGGGTCCAGCTCTTGGCCTTCCCTATATACTTGCTGTGCTATCTGGGCTTGTGGGGCCCCTTTTGCAAGAAGGCATTCCCACACTTCATGGCCCGCGTAGCTGTTTATTATAATGAGAAGATGGCCCCCAAGAAAAAGGAGCTTTTCAGCAACCTGAAGGACTTTGCAGGCCCCTCAGGGGTGCTCACGCTACTGGAGATTGGTGCAGGAAGTGGAACTAACTTTGAGTTCTACCCAGCAGGATGCAGACTCATATGCAACGATAACAATGACAACTTCAGAAAATTCCTTGACAAGAGTCTGTCTCAGAATCGGCACCTGCAGCTGGAGCGCTACGTAATAGCACCAGCTGAAGACATGCCACAGATACCAAACGCATCTGTCGACGTTGTGGTTTGCACCTTGGTGTTGTGCTATGTGGAGAGCACAGAAAGAGTCCTAAAGGAAGTTCTACGAGTGCTGCGACCAGTAAGTAATTCGGGTGGGGGGCAGGGTGGGGAGGCAGAGAACACGCTAAGCCAGATCCAGACAGAGTGGTACTGATAGGGAAGCCTGATACTCTATAGGGAACTTGTATGGTGTGAACTTATCTTTGGCAACATTATTCCCATAGAAGTCTTGGGATCTTGTTGGACTCAAACCAGTTCTTAGAAAAACAAGCTGCAGGGATGCCTAAGATCAGCTTTTCCCATCTACCCCAGAGGTTGAACAGGAGTGATCTTGCAGTGCTTCTCCATGCTTCTGTAACCTCTAGGCTGGACTACTGTAACAGCTTCATGTGGGGCTGTGCTAGAAGGCCACCGGGACACTTAGAATCATAGAATCATAGGGTGCATTCAGACGGGGCATTTTAGCCGGCATAAACAGCTCCAGTTGGAACCGTTGCAGTTTATGCCAGCTGAAACACGATCACACTACCTCCCTCACAGTGCAGCACATCACCATATGCCCGTTCACCACCCGTAAGTATTCCGATTCCAACCAGCATCTATACCGGTATAAATGCCCCATCTGAACACACCCATAGAGTCTTAAAGTTGGAAGGGGTCATACAGACCATCTAGTCCAACCTCCTGCCGAATGCAGGACTAGCCTAAAGCATCTCTGAGAAATATTCATCCATCCTCTTCTTGAAAGCTGCCAGTGAAGGGGAGCTCACCACAGATGTAATACTGTCCATTTATCTTTATTGAATTGCATCCTGTTTGCAACTGCCCACTTCTCCAGAGTATTTAGGTCTTGTTGAATTTTAACTCTATCTTCTTGGGTGTTTGCTTCAGCTAGTTCAAAATGTGGCCATTCAATTGTTAACAAGAAAGAGCAGCTTTCATCGTATTGCGTTGCTATTTGAACACCTCAACTAACTGCCCATTTGTTTCTGGCTTCAACTCATAGTGCTGGTTCTTATTTCTGAAGCCTTTCACAACTTGGGAAACACATATCTGAAGGACCATCTTTTCCTATATAAGCCCTCATAAATCATGCTAGTTGTGCCTTCCTTGAAGGTAGCACACCTGGCCACATCTGTATATGTAATATTTTCATACTTGCCAGCACAGAGTTGGGATTCTTACAAATTACTTGTTGAATGGACTTTTCCTGATCACCAGATGGTCTTACCCTCCTTGTCCAGGTTGTGGAACAGAATCATGTGTATTTCTTTCCACACCTTATTTTGTTATTAGCTGATGGCGTTTATTTTATTTATTTATTTATTTAACTCATTTATACCCACCCACAGTGGGTATCCCACCCAAGGGGGATCCAACCCAAGTGGGTATCCCACCCAAGGGTGATCAAAGGTTTCCCTTGCTTGAAAGCCAGTTGAATCTGACTCTAGGGATGCGGTGCTCATCTCTGTTTCCAAGTCGAAGAGCCAGAGCTGTCCAGAGGCATTTCCGTGGTCATGTGGCTGGCATGACTAGACACAAAGGCGCACGGAATGCTGTTACCTTCCCACCGAAGGGGTACCTATTTATCTACTTGCAATTTCTTGCGTTCGAACTGCTAGGTTGGCAGGAGCTGGAGCCAGAGACGGGAGCTCACTCCGTCTTGTGGCACTCGGGTCTCGAACT